CTGAACAGTGAAACACAGGGTCAGTGTTGAGGGCTAGCGCTTTCTCCTACTACTGCTCTGAGCAAACTATTGAAAAGACCACGAAGAGCTGCTGCAGGGATTTGAAGAGCTACAGAAACTGCATCATGAGGCAGTGAGAGTATGACTTGTAATCCAAGAGAGAAATCTGATGACACTGGGGCAGAGAGATGTTCAATTCCATCTCAGTTCCAGCCTGCTATCTAAGACGGTTCATTCCAGTGAGAGAGAGGGATGGGTTATCAATGCTACCCTGTGTTGGGGTTCATTTTTGAGTCCCACAAAGAGCAGTGTTCAAGGGATTTGCTCTTCCTACCTGTTGCGATATTCTGGGGCAGCATTTTCTTCCCCTGGATTTCCTGGCAGGTACGGCACTGCTAAGGGCCTGTGCCAGGGTCTGTGGTTGCAGAGCTGGCATATGTGTGACTGCCAGAGGAGGATGTAGTCAAAAGCACATCAGACTTTGTTGTTTATGGATTTCTGGGACCACATTTCTTATGCAGAGTTTCTGCTCTGTTATCCTTCATCAGATCTTTGATTATAGTGCCCAGAGTCACTGGTGCCTTTTTAGTCCTCAGCCTGGGCAAGAGGAGGATTCTTCTCCTTTAACTTTAGCTGTCTAAAGTTAGGCCCCTCGTTTAAATAGATCCTAGCTCCCTTCCCTGTTGGTGCAGATAGTTGGGTGATTTATCTTGTCTTGAGAATGGTTTCTAGGATAGCTGGGCATTGCCTTTCTCGCTCCTTTGAGAACCTAAATGATTAGTTTAGGCAAGACGCCTAATTGGAAGTTGGCTAAAGCTAGATGAGATGACTCCCACTGCACAGGCTTTGTAGAGCTTACCTTGAAGAATTCACATTAGTTGCTTGTGTTTGGACAGGAGCACATGCTTGAATGCCCTGGTGAAATGGAGCTTTTGTAAGTACTATTACTGCTATATGGAAGAGTGATGTGGCAGGACATGGGAATGCAGTACTTGGGTGCAGAGGAGTCGCCTGTGCCCCTGGAGATTTTGAATTGTCAGTCTCATTGCCAAGCTTGGTCTAGTTCTGCTGTTAAGCAGTCGTGGATCTACACTTCTGCAGCAGGATGGGAGAGATACAAAAACTAAAACCAAAAACTTGTATCCGTTCTTCCCTTACAAGAAATTATTCAGACATAGTGGCAAGTTTCCTCTAATGCAGGAAAATATTTCTAGCTTATCTCAGAAATACTCTTTAATACATGGAAGTGGCAATGTCCCTAGACTCTAGGGCTTTTCTCCTTTGTCTGTTCCTTCTTAACTCTCTTCTTCCTCTCCCTGTAATATTTGTTTGGTTTTAACTATGACAGTAGGCATGTTAAGTATTAATGATTATTTCAAGGGGTGTGTTAATATTCTTAGTAAGTGTATTCATCCTGTGGCATGAATGGTTGGAATTTTCTGATGTAATTCACTAATGTATTGTATGCCAGTGTTGGTAACTCCAGTTTGAATTTCTAACTATTAACGAAAAAGCACCAAAACATGTGTGACCTCAAGTGCTGGACTGTTTTCTTAAAGCTCCTGCTCCTCTGTGGCCGAATGCTGGTAGCTTAGGCAGTTAATAAGGGTCGAGATTTTGGAATTATTGTTCCTTTCTGAAGCAGGGTTTATTTTTTCCCGTTGGGGGTGTTAGAAAGCAAACATTGGTTCAGGATGGTGGGAGATGTATGTATGGACCTAGAAGTGGAATGTAAAGTTTACATGGAATGGAAAAGGGAGCGGAGGAGCGAAAAAAAGAGAAACAAATGTTTGAACAAACTGCAGGTGGTTGGTGTGGGATTAGTAGCTGTATCTTTGTGTAGTTTAAATTTCCCAGTACAAAATCTAGGAAAGGTGCGCTGCAGAAGTACCAATTGTGTGAAGCAGAAGCAATTTGAAATGCTTAAGTGAATAAGGACTTTTTCTCTTGGAGCCAGAGAGATTACTAGATACCACGTGGTACATGGAATATCAAGAAATGGAAAAAAAATCTGACTAGAAGTATAGTCTAGTAGTAGTCTAGTATGGAGTAGGTGCGGTGTTCAACTGGAAGAGATGTAGAGGTACAGCTTTGCTCAATGACCAAAAGAAGAGTGAAGAGGAAAACACTCAGAGGTAGTTTTAGAGCTGTCAGCAGCAGGTGCTGAGGCAGTTTATGTGTTTATTTGTGTTTCAAACACAGGATGGCAATTATGAAATTATATTACAAGTAGAGGAGCTGTACTGTATCCCATGTAGAAGCGAAGCATGAGATATAGTTTTTGCCCCATAGGCACAGAGAGAACCTGATTAAGACTTTGTGACTGACTGAAAGGTTCTTGCTATTTTGGGAGAGGTAACAGAGTCTCTGATAAGAGAACAGATTGAGATTAGGGTCTGGTTCAAGACAGGCAGACTCCAAATTAACCTTTCTTGAGGAAACTGGAGCTTGCCAGGGGAACTGCCTCATTACTGAATAGAGCTGCCTGGGGGTGTATGGGGAGGTACTCAGCTAGGAATCCAAAATGCAGAGGGGGATGCAGCATTCAAAGTCAAAGATGAGAAGAGAACGTGGAGAGTTGCCTGTGATGAATCAACCCAGCTAAGACAGTGCCCAGCATGTAGGAAAAGATGCAAGAAATGCAGTGGATTGCAGTAGTTTATTAATAAAGTGTGCACCACAGGCAAAGAGGAGGATGGCAGTGTTGCTGTTTGGAAGCATTTTTCATGGGTGCGATGGATACCTTAGTGGCAGAAGATGATCGCCATCAAACTAAAAGCAAAGAGGAGAAGTTACTAATTATGAATGGGGTTCTGTTGCCAGAATGCTGCCAGAAACAGTGTTGCTAGCACTAAAGGCAGTGGAAGGTAAATGAGGAAATGTCAGAATTTATAGGAGAACGTGCCAGCAAGATCTATGGGTGATTGATAAATTGGAAATGGTTAAAGATAGAAGGGTAGCTATTGTTTTGATAAAGTATGACAACAAAATTTTGGTCTCGTTTATAAAATGTACTAATTGGAAGAAGAGGGCGGTTTGAGAGCCTTTTCTAAGGAAACAAGAATGCCATTTTATATTTAAGATAGCACAGAATAAGGCTGAGAAAGCTCTATGAATCACACTCCTGGAAAGGCTCTCTTAGCTCTACTAGTCTTTATTATAATTAGATTTTCATTTTATGGCTATTTCTTTTGCTTTAATGGATCAAACGAAAATTCTGTGTTTTTACAACCAGAATACTTTGAGAGGATTTCTACGCAAATCCAATCTCCAAGGCTCAGGTCCATCCTTAAAAACACGTAGGTCAAAATTTTGGAGTATCCTGCAGTAAGTTCATTAACAGGAAGTGGAGTTTAGCTCCACTTAAACGTATCTTCCTCCCTTCCTAACCCTGCTTCCGTAATTAGGAACCAGTTATTATTTGTACTTACCTAGTGCTGCAAAGTATTGCAAAGCAGAACATAGGAGTAGTTAGCAGTATTAACTAAGCACTGAGGAAAATGCTTACAATTTCTGGTATTATCTCTTTTCTCCATTAGCCCAGACCCACCATGACCCCAAAATGTGATGATCTGTGACAGGACTCAGGCTCTTCCATCTGTATCATTTGTCCAGCAAATGATGAAGCATGTGCTGTGGGGGTTTGGCGATAGCACTAGTGAAAAAAAGGAAAACTGGTTTTCTTACTTTGGAATATTATTTGAAAGGCTAGGTGTCAAACACAACAGGAATTGTTTTCTCATCCAAATTCTCTTTCTCTGTTTTCCAGTTCAAGAGGGGAGGAGGCAAGAAACTTGCAGGTGATCTTTTACGCTCCCCTTACACCAAAGCAATCCTTGTGCAGGTTTCCAAGTTCACTTATATTTCTGATCCAGGGGTGGCTTGTTTCAAGGCATCTCTATTAGCTTGCCTGCTCCAGCCTCTAAACACCTTGGGGCAGGGTGCTTTTTTTACCTTCTTCCTCTGGACTGCAGATAGAGGCTGCAGACTTCTAATGTTCCCATGTGATTTTCCCAGCAGCTCTGCATTTGTTTCAGTGCTTAGCATCGTGCTCTGCCTGAGCGGTGATTGACGTAATCGGAAGTATCCAGCTTTCTTAAAGCAAAGTACCCTTTTTTTTTTTTTTAAGAAAAAGGTATCATACATAAAACACATTGTAAAACAACACACTGTTTGTACACTTCCAGCTTTTCTGAGATGCTATATGGAGATCTTAGTAGGAGTAAAGCACTTCAGATCTTCTGGTGATGTCCATTCTTCTTGCACACTGTTATATATCGGTTCTTGGGTGAAATATTAATGAATATTAAATCGGGGCAGTAGGTTTTATTATTTGTTTGTTATCCTGGCCTCTTTGCTGATATCAGACAGGTATTGTACTATATCCCAAAAGACTGAAACTTTGAAAAGCTGGCTACCTGCCTTGCATTTGCACTGAGAAATTACATAATGAGAAATTACATAAATGATGCCCCTATTGAATTTTCATTCTTGCAGGACAAATTTCTCATCTGACCCATTCGACCAGAAATACCATCACTAGCAAACATGCAGAGATGCACATAACTTGTATTACATTGATACAGCAATCTTTGAACGTTCCTTCTGTCCATTT